CCCTTCCACCACTGTCTCCCCCAATAATTCAGCCCTGTCACCACAGTCTACCCCAATAATTCAACCCTGTCACCACAGTCTACCCCAATAATTCAACCCTGTCACCACAGTCTACCCCAATAATTCAACCCCATCAGCACATTCTACCAAAATAATTCAACCCTGTCAGCACAGTCTACCTCAATAATTCAACCCTGTCACCACATTCTACGCCAATAATTCAACCCATGTAATCATATTCTACCCCCAATAATTCAACCATGTCACCACATTCTACCCCAATAGTTCAACCTCATCACCACAGTCTGCCCCAATAATTCAACCCCGTCACCACGGTCTACCCCAATAATTCAACCCCATCACCACAGTCTACCCCAATAATTCAACCAGAGCCGTACCTAGCTCCTTTTGCGCCCGAGGCAAGAACAGATAATTGTGCCCTCTCCCCCAACAGACCTGTGATGACGCGCAGCATCATGTGATGTCATGCACCCCACCTCCAGGATCGCGGCGCAGAATGCGCTGGTGGCCAAACCCAAAATAGCATAAAAATTAGTTTCGTTTGACGAAACTAATTAAATAATTTTTAGTTTCTGTTCATTTCGTCTGAAACAATTTTTTTATCTTTGCACATGTCTAATAATACACTATGTTGCCAAAAGTATTGGGACACCCCTCCAAATCATTGGATTTAGGTGTTCCGTGAAATTTCTTTGCTACCACGGTCAACTGTTAGGCCCCATTCACACGTAGCGATTTATCGGCGCGATATCGCGCATTTTTGCCGCGCGATATCGCGTGAAGTCGCCGGCTAATGATATTCAATGGAGCTGTCTTAGCTCCATGTCGCTCGTCGCGGTCGCAAGTCCCTTCTACAGGACCCATTTTTCAGCGGATTTTGCACGATTTTGCTTTTTTTCTAATGGAGCCCGACGGAGAAGGTCGCGCTACCGTCGCTGGAACGTCGCCCCGAAAGTCGCGCTATCCCGGCCGCTGCAAAAGGTATGTCGCTACGTGTGAATGGGGCCTTAGTGGTATAACAAAGTGGAAGCAACTGGGAACAAAGCAACTCAGCCACAAAGTGGAAGGACACGTAAAATGACAGAGCAGGGTCAGCGCATGCTGAAGTGCGCAGAAGTCACCAACTGCCTGCAGAGTCAATAGCTACAGACCTCCAAACTTCATGTGGCCTTCAGGTTGGCACAACAACAGTGCGTAGAGAGCTTCAAGGAATGGGTTTCCATGGCTGAGCAGCTGAATTGGAGACGTGTTCTCTGGAGTGATGAATCACGATTCTCTGTCTGGCAATCCGATAGACGTGTCTGATTCCCAGGAGTACGGTACTTGCCTGACTGCATTGTGCCAAGTGTAAAGTTTGGTGGAGGGGGGATTATGGTGTGGTGTTGTTTTTTAGTCGTTGGGCTTGTCCCCTTAGTTCCAGTGAAGGGAACTCTTAAGGCCGTGACACACCGCACGCAAAGCCGTGCAGAGCGAAGCAAAGCTATCCGGCACGGAGCTTTGCGTGCAGTGTGTGAGCTGAGTGCAGTCAGATGATTGACAGCACCTTCAGCCAATCGGCTC